CTCGACGAATGTGGGTTTTTTGATGTTCCTCTTTGGAGGTGAAATGTGGGTTGTCCGAAAATGTTTTTGTGGATCATCGACAGCGGGTGAATCGTGTATCGATATTTGCTCTCGACGAATGTGGGTCTCTTTGAATTGTCTCTTTGGAGGCAATTTACGTGCTAAGCGGTGCGCAAGTGGCTTCATCAAGTGAATTCGCGAGTTGAGTTTTAGCTATATGTTAAGCTTGGCAGTGGGTCATCTTGTTGGGGTTGGTTTGCGTTGTACGTGATGCGCATGAGTGGTAGTTGAGTTGTTTGGGAGGGCGGGCTCCGTGCTTTGAGCATCGAACCGTCTTCTTGCAACTTTTTTCATTGTTACCTCGCCCACGGTGAGGGTGATTATCGGGTTCCTGTGTTGCATACCCATTAAGGGGAAGTTTGATGTTTGCCTTTAATTTTTGCTGTGTGCTCGCTTTGGGCTCGTGGTGGACAACGTAGCATCGCTTGTGTACCAAGCTCTCACTGTTAGTTTGAGATTTGGTCCTCGTGTGTTGCTGTGCTCTTGGTTGCGGAAAGTGATGTGGCCATGGGGGATTTCGCATCTCCCTAATATTGGCCCGACCCTAAGAATCCTTTTTGAACAACCACAACAACCTCGAATTGACCTACTCGTTTCATTGCGTTTGCTTGGATGGGTTGGTCAGTTAGAGTTGGAGCGTCGAAAGAGGGAATGCTACCTGGTTGATCCTGCCAGTAGTCATATGCTTGTCTCAAAGATTAAGCCATGCATGTGTAAGTATGAACAAATTTAGACTGTGAAATTGCGAAAGGCTCATTAAATCAGTTATAGTTTGTTTGATGGTTGATAACGATGTAATTGCACATGTTTGCGCCCCTAGTTTTTATCCGTTTGAGGGGCATAGTCGTGTGTTTTGGCCTATTTTACGCCGGGTTGTGCTATTTTGTCATGTTTCAGGTCCCAGGTGTCAAAGGGAAGGCTAAGCGTGAGTTTCGGGGCATTCGGAGGTCATTTCGTCAAGCTGGAGCCAAAACACGGGCACACCTAAGGCATTACACGGCCGTGTTCCTGTGGCCGTGCTTTTTATGCCGAGAGCAAATTCGATTTGGCAAATTCAGCTGCAAACACGGGCACCAAAGCACGGCCCTGTTCCACCAAAGCACGGCCGTGTCCTCTGCGAAGCACGGCCGTGTTTCTCCCCAACTGCTGGCCGTGTAATTAACACTGGCCGAGACACGGGCAGGCTCAGGCAAATCACGGCCGTGCCCTCGACCGTGCTTTGGCCACTGATGCCTTTTTAAGCAGATTTTCAGCCAAACAGAAGGGGATTCGAGTTTTTGAGAGAGAGAACAATTCCTAGAGAGAGAAAGCGACAAACAAGAGTCTCCAAGTGCCCTAGATTGATCTTCAACACCATTGGAGGCCAGTTTGAGCTTGGAGAAGTGCCGTTCAACATTAATCTTCTTTCTCCACTCCACCATCTTCGAAGGCGGGCAATAACGAGCCATAAACTTGTTGAGGAGGTCATCCCATGAGGTGATAGACCGTGGTGGGCGGTTGTTTAGCCACCTAAGTGCCTTCCCCAAGAGTGAGTATGGGAAAATCAGTTGCAAAGCTTCGACCGGCACACCATTAATTTTCAAGATCCCCGCGAGCTCCAATAATCTCTGCACGTGCTCTCTTGGTGACTCGCTTTCATTTCCGTGGAATAGAGTGTTACTTTGTATCATAGTCACTAGAGCCAGCTTGATCTCGAAATTGTTTGCCGCCACCGTAGGATGTAGGATCGGCGATTGAATGTCCGCCGGCCTTGGGGCCATATAGTACCCCATTGTCCTTGGGGCTCCTTCTTCTCCCGCCGCAACATTCATATGGCGGGCTTGAGCGCCTCCTTCTTGTCTTTGGTTCCCCGCCATTTCCTCTTCAACGACGGGTTCAACTTTGACTTCTTCAACTCCTCCTCCACTAACACCGGAACTCAATTGCTGTCCCCCTCTTTCATTGCTTGGCACTAGCATTGCTATACGGGTTGTTGACCCTAGCATTTGCCACGAAGTTGACTTGCTCCTCCGGAGTGGTTGCCTCCTACATTGCTTGGCACTCCGCCATCTCGTGGCTAGTACTCGAGCACCAATCGCATGACATTACTGCCCGTTTTCCTTGCCTTTTATCTTCAAGCATAACCGCAAGCAACTTATCCAACTTTGCCTAAAGCGGAGCACTCGCTCCCACGCTTCTCACTCCCCTATCATTGCTTCTTCTTCCACTTCTAGTCAACCCCCAATCATACCCCCTAAGGACCATATCTTCTAGGATCTCGGTTATTTGGGGCGGAGCCATATTCATCAACATCCCCTGACACCAAGGAGTCAATGAGGATCTTATCTTCTTGCATTAGGCCTCCGTAGAAGGTTTCAATCTGAAACTGTTCTTCAAACCCGTGGTGAGTGCACGATTGACACGCCAAAACACAACACCAATCTGCGACCAAGTGTAATCGCAGACCGGGAATGCAGTAACAGGCAAGTTATATTATCAACCCGGGGTCTAGATCTACTGCTTACTCAGTGATTCTCTGTTATCTAGCCAACTAGAGTAAGTGATTGTTGTTTAAACTAAAAGCAGAAATAAAGCAGGAAATTATTCGGTTTTCTTAAGCAGGAAAGAGTCACTCGGGAATGAATCCCCCTAGCTCTTTAGTTAGGTTTCAATTGCAATTTACCCTGGGTTGATTTACTGTTGATTAGACTGCGGAAGATCCGACAGTAGCTTGGAATCTCTTAAGCTGACCAAGCCCTCTCAGTCTAACTACCCGGCAGACGACTAGTCTTCACCGGGATAGAAAGCTGAGGCTATGAACACAGAACTCCACTACTGGCGCCAAGAACACCAGTACAAAGCAGTAAACTGGCTAACTCTCGTATAGCCAACCTCCTACTATCGAATGAAGAGGCTCTAACAACCTAATCAGATTCTATCTATCTCAGGTTGAAGCAGAAATTGAGACAAGCTGATCAGACTCAAATCAATTCATGAAACATGCATCATTCGATTAAAATCAAACAGTAGTATCATCCCAAGTCATTACAATCAATCCCCTAACACATGGAACTAGGGTTCTTCATCCCCAAGTGAGAGAAGGGTTCTACTCCATAGAGAGAGAAGAGAAAACAAGAATCGGATTAGTCATACTCATAACGATGAGGATAATCTGCTCCGGGACGATGATTTTCACTCCTATGACGATCTCCAGGCTCGATTCGATGAAATCCAGCTCTAAGACAGCTTCTAGGATGTGTTCTTCGTACTTTCTCTCTCTAGGGCTCTGTTTTTGCTCTGAAAACACTGTTCTCTCACTTCTGGCTCGGATTAGGCTTTAAAACCGGGTTTCCCGAGTTGCACGGCCAGGGTGCACGGCCGTGCACCTCACCATTCTGGCCGTGCACCATGAAACGCAGCGTATCCCTTAAGTCGAACTCAGGCTTCTTGCACGGCCAGGTGCACGGCCGTGCAATCTTCAGGGCCTGCCCGTGCAGCTCCTCGGCATGAGGCGCACGGCCAGCTTGCAACCGTGCACGGCCGTGCAGCCTCCCTGGTCTGCCCGTGCAGCTCCCAAAAACCTCGCCACTCGTCCGTTCTTCGTCCAATCGACCCCAGACTCGCTCCTAAGCCTTCATTCACGTACTAGGACCTGAAATATCACAAACAAGCACAACCTAGCGTGAAATCGGCCTAAAACACGAGAATCAACACCTCAAACGGTGTAAGAACGGGGGTAGAAACATGTGTAAATGACGGTCTATCAAACTCTCCCACACTTAACCGTTTGCTTGTCCCCAAGCAAACCAAGTCAGACACTAGGTAAGCTTACATATTTCAATCAACCAACATTGGGGACAAGTCATAAAGGCACAGAACACGTGAATCGCACTGGTTTTCAAACATCAATACATGCACAACCTCAATAACAACCTGGACAACCACCACAAAGGACATTCGAGTGCAGCAAATCGAGTAAAGGAAGAGTCTCCCTTCTGTTCACTGGCCAACCTAGACTTGATTCAACCACTTACTCAAAACAGTCAACTCATGCATTCAACTCAAGACATCAGAATAGAGACCGAGCAATCTAGGTCCTCACCGGGGTACAAGAGCATATAGAAAATGAAAATGAATCACTCACTCTCGACCAGTGGGGTCAGGACAATTTGATGCGAAAGATGCGCATGCTATTTCTCTCAATCCCTATCATCTCTTCACCATGATGGCAGCCTCTAAATGCTAGAGTTCACATATGGGGTGTCATCACTAACTAATCAGGAGGTCTTAGACACAGGTTCAAATGACTGGCTAGGGTCTTGGACATGGGGAAAAGGCCTTTTAGGTGGTGGAAGTATTCATAGCAAAAGGTTCCACATTTCCCGAACACACAAACACAGTCAGCAACCCGGTATTTTCTTTCTGCTATCCTGCATTACTCAATATCTTAAGAGCACAAGAGCGAAGGAGGCATAAACATCAGCATTTCCAAGCCAGACTGCTAAGAAACACTACTTACTGAGCATTATTCAGATTTTTGGTAGTGGCTCTCTTTTACTTTCAATTTTTTTCTTTGTTCCACTTTCATTTTTCTTTTCATTTCTTAAGAGAGCCACCACTCCTGCACATATTTCAAACATCCGCCCAACTTTTAAGCACTACCTCCAACACTCACATAGACTTTAGCAGAAACAGCAGAGAATATATAAAAACCACTCTGTGGAACCTTCTAAAAGATGCAACAAGGGTGATTTCTTTTCATTATAGACCAAAAGAAAGGATAACACACGGCTCAAAGGGGCTGACTAGGGGATATGACACATCAGGACAGTCAGTTTTGGGCGTGGGCTAATCCTATGCCCCCATCATCTTAGCTAGTGACAACGTGAATGCTACACATCATGGAAGAGGGATCTATCGCACAAGAAAGAAACGAGCAGGCTCAAATCTCACATGGCTACCTATATGCTCTATCTCACATTCTGATACCCTGAACTAGATGCATAAGAGACTGTCAAGAACAAGTAATCAATTCAAGTCACAGTTGGTAAGCAAACAGTTGGAAAACTGAACCTCTACACAACTCTACTGCACATCTTAGTCCTCATCATAGGTTGTCCTAGTCGCAAACAAGTTGTCATGCATTAATCCGAAAACCAATCAATTCATCCATCAAAACACAGTGCCAATATGATCAAACAGCAGTACTTGGAGCCCTCAAATCGTAAGATTCGGACAGCGGACTAGGCTCCAAGCACCATCATAAATATTCCAACCGATACAAAGCATCCCCCCACACTTAAGAACGACATTGCCCTCAATGGAGCAGAGGGAAAGATAAGGGGAACGATGTTACCGGGTAGGAACACTGCTGGGGGACTGGAAGTGGACCAGTCAGCGAGAAACGAACGGGGGAGTGGACAATGCTGCACAAATCGAACATCAGAAACACACTAGCACACTGTGCGTTAGGGATAAGTGTTAGCCCAGACGGCTACATCAAACCACAAAGGAAAAACCAAAAACAAAAACAAACGACACTAAGTTCAAGCTCCGCACACATGGAGCAAACACACAAAAGTCTAAAATGAAAAAGAAAACACACTGAGACGGGCAACGAGTACAGCCTACTCGTCGCCAAGATCGTCGAGGTCGATGTCGTTCATGAATGCGTCATCATCCGCAGCGCCAGTAGCACCGTCATGTGGAGGGGAGTCATCCCAGGGAGTCCTCCAGACAGGTGGCTCGCCCGGGAGCAGCTGGAGCAGGTGCTGCTGGACCTCCTGCATGCGCCGGGAGCGGCGCTTCTCCCGCTCGATGTGGGCAAGAGTCACGCCCTGCTGGGTCTGGAGCTGGTCCAATCTCTCGTCGTAACTCGCCATCCTCTGGTGGTACTCGGCCTGGTGAGCCGCGTACTGCTGCTGGAACTGCAGCTGATGGTCGATGATCTGCTGGTTCTGGAGACGCAGCTGCTCGAACTGGGAAGTGAAGTAATCCTGCCCCGGGAAACTGGAGCTGCTACCCCCGAAATGGAAGTCAGTCTGTGGGGGATTATCAGCAGCATCAGCAGCAGCATCCACCTCCTCGGGATCCACCTCATCGGCAGCCTCCTCCTCCTCTGGTACGGGCTCCGCGGGGATCGGAGGCTCCGGAAACCCATCGACCCATTGAACACCGTTCCTCTCCCGCAACAGCAGCATCTTCCTGATCGTCGTGCGGCCAAAGATGAGGGTGTCCCCCTCCTCGGTGCACCCCTGCAGTGAAAGGCCAAAGAAGGTGGCCAGGCGGGTGATGAGGGGGGCGCAGTGGAGGCTCTTCAGCTCTGTGGCCGTCTTCTCGAAGGTCTTGGCCACCACTGAACCCAGGTGGAGAGGATGGCGGCGCTGGCGGATCGAATGGAGGAAGTACAGGGACCTCTTCGTGATGGCGCCGGCGCTGTCAGCTGCAGGAGTGTAAGACTTCGCCAGCAGGTGGTGGAGAAGTCGGTTGTCGATCTGCAGGGTAGAGGCCTTCGTCCTCCCGGACCGGAAGGGACGCGCCTGGCCTGGCCGAGCCAGGCTGGTGTACAGCCTCCCGAAGTCCACCTCTGGTGGCTCATTCACCTCGGTGACGTAGTCCTCACGGTCGTCGAGGTCGAGGTCGAGAGCCTCGGCCAGCTCGTGGTAGCTCAAGGACCGGGGGACCCCGCCCAGCCTGAATTGGACGGCCGTACCGTCCTGCCAGTTGTCCGTGGTATTGTGCTTGAAGGTCGTGTAGAACTCCCACACCGGCTCGTAGTAGACCTTCTCGCAGAGCTGGAGCAGACGGCGCCAGGCGGTGTTGGCGACCGCGGCGGAGAGCTGCTCGTAGCAGTGCAATCGCCGAAACTCCCGTTTGGACCAGCAATGGTGTGACCCAAACGGGGTTTCCGCGACCTCCTTGAAGCGCTCTGCGGTGGGTCCCCTCCTCAGATCCCGGATGAACGGGTGCTGGAAATTAGGTTTCGCCATTGCCCTGCAAAACAACAACCCAAAGTGGAACCCAAAAGAGCCAAAGAAAAAGGTCAAGCGCACCCCCACACTTAAGAACAGAAAACAGCCTAACCATGGTTTCATCCATAGTTCGGGGGTCAAAATCTCGATAAATCAAGCAGAATCAGGGTGGGGGTGCACATTCACAAGAAAATAGGCAACTCAAGGTTCACATCCATAGCAAATACACCCTCAAACTACATCATTAAGGGCCCCAACCGGTGGCCACAACAGGGCATGGAAAACAGGCATTTCAGCGAACACCTTGTGTGCACTACTAAGTTAAACATGAAATTGGCCAAATTCTTGCACACAAGGGCTTAAACAATCAAAGGGGACTTTGCCCAACATAATTCAATCACATCCCATGCATTCCCCTCAATCAATTTCATAAGATTCACATGATTCAATAAGGTTCTCTAACATACACCCTACACACTCAATTCTCCAC